ACCCATGCCCAGAGCATCTCAGGAGGCTGGCTGTTTCAGGTGGGGTCGGAGGGGTCCCGGCGAGAAATTGTGCTGAAGGGGGGAGGCCTTGAGACCTACGCAGAATCCATGCCCAGAGGCCTCAAGAGGCTGGCTGTGTCAGGGGGGGTCGGGGGGTCCCGGCGACGATTTTGCTGAGTGGGGGGGGGGGTCGGGGGGGTCCCGGCGAGGATTTTGCTGAGTGGGGGGGCCTTCGGATCTACGAAAGACCAATGCCCTGAGCTTCTCAGGAGGCTGGGTGTGTCAGGGAGGGTCGGGGGGGTCTCGGGGAGGGTCCTGGCGAGGATTTTGCTGAGTGGGGGGGCCTTCAGATTTACGAAAAACCAATGCCCAGATCTTCTCAGGAGGCTGACTGTGTCAGGGGAGGTCGGGGGGGTCTCGGGGAGGAATTTGCTCAGGGGGGGGCCTTTGGACATACGCCAAACCTTATGCCCAGAGGCCTCAGGCGGCTGGCAGTGTCAGCGGGGGTCGGGGGGGTCCGTTGGGGGGGCTTTTGAAACCTACGAAAAATCCATGCCTAGAGGCCTCGCAAGGCTGGCTGTGTCAGGGAAGGTGGGGGGGGGTGAGGGGGGTCCCGGCGAGGATTTTGCTGAGTGGGGGGGCCTTGAAACCTACGAAGAACCCATGCCCAGAGAGTCTCAGGAGGCTGGCTGTGTCAGGGGGGGTCGGGGGGGTCCGGGCGGAGATTTTGTTGAGGGGGGGGGCCGTGAAACCTACGGAAAACCGATGCCCAGAGGCCTCAGGTTGCTGGCTGTGTCGGAGAGGTCGGGGGGGTGTCGGCGAGGAATTTGCTGAGGGGGGGGCCTTCAGATCTACGAAAAGCCCATGGCCAGAGCCCCTCAGGAGGCTGGCTGTCACAGGGGGGGTCGGGGAGGGTCCCGGCGAGGATGGCTAGGGACTGTGTGATGTGTGGGGACAACCTCGGATGCAGCTGAGAAGGATTCCGCACACGCCTCATGGGGTCGGCGGATTTACAACGACGGGCCCAGAGTTGCGGCGTCCAGGAGCGGCTCTGGCCCAGAGCAGCCGCCCGAAGTCGGCGGGCCCCGCCTTACGCTGCAGCGCAACAGTGACACATGCAGCTTCGACCTCTCCAGCACCGCGAGGAAACCCCGCCCGCAGCAAGTGCAGGAGGCTCCGTCCGAGCACAACTCAGAGGTCAGCGCGCTGTCGAGCTTGGCGATCTCCAAGACGACCGCCTCGGCCTGGTGCCGCGTCCCCCGCACGAGGACCGTCGAGGTGCAGACGCTTCCGACCGAGCCGTCTCCACGCCCGCCGTCAATGCCGGAGCTCAGTAGGGACGTGGAGACCCTGCGCCGCGCAGGCGTGCCGTGGGCCTGCCGCGCGAAGAGGCGGGTCAGGCTCAACACCATGAGGCGCCAGGTGCCGGCGTTCGCGGAGACGCCCAAGGAGACGGTGGTGATGCGCTTGTGGGACGCCATCGCGGGCATCAACGTCTGTGGCCGAGGCTGCTGCGCGTTTCACGTCAGCGCAGTTTCGGCGAGGAGAACCCTCGAGGTCATGCTGCGGGGGGCCTGCGACGACGTGGAGTTCGGCAACCGGCAGTGCCCGGAGTGCCTCGCTCTGATCGACCAGGGGGCGGGCGAGCTGCAGGAGTGCGAGACCTGCGGGGCCGAGGTCCGCCCCCTGCCGCCCACCGGGCCTGCCTCCGCAGGGTCGACGCCCTCGTCTTCTTTGGACGAGGCGACCCCGGCGGCCCAGGCGCGCGTGTGCCGGCCGCGGGCCTCTGCCGCTGCGGGCGCGGCGGCGGGCTCTCTGCCGCCCGGTGGGCGGGCCTCTGCCGGGTCGGCGCCCGCCTTGGACGAGGCCCTGGCCGCCTTCACGTTCCAGGTCACGGTAGATCGAAGCGACGGCACCAGTCTCGGGATCGACATCGACACCTGCGATGGTTCCGCAGTATTGGTGGAGAGAGTGACGGAAGGCCTTTTCGCGCAGTGGAACGACCGCAACGAAGAAGCGAGGGTCAGAGCGGGTGATTATCTGGTCCAGGTGAACGGAATTTCTGGCAACGCAGACGGGATTATTGCCGAGTGTCGTGAGTTCCAGCCGCTTGAGTTCGTCGTCTGGAGGAAGCCCATGGCCAGAGAGCAACACCAGGTGACCGGCTAGATCGTCCCGAGAGCGACTGTTCATCTTTTTTGTTTTTTTGTTTTGACTTTCGAGGTGATCAGGGAAGCGCAATCTGAAACAGCGAATGCCCAGGGGAGTTGAGGTGATCTTCTGAGGGATCCTATGCCTATAAGCTGCATTCAGGTTATGGTTCGCAATCTTGGTGCTGTGGTTCGCGCTGGCCTGCGCTGTGGCCTCCTGCGCATTCCATCTGCCATTTGCTGCGGGCTCTGGCTTTCACAGTTTGCTTTTATATATTCTCGCTTGTCCTCTCCATGAGAAAAGGAGGAGGAAGAGGAAGAAAACTTCAATTGGCCTGCTGTGGATTCGGCTTGGGCGCTTGGTTTTTTCCTCTCCGCCCTCACGAACAGATTTTTAGAGACCACCTGCCCGTGGAACTGGCGACGCTGGGTGGCTTCATAGTTTCACAGTGCCTGGCGGCGGCAGCGTCGGCGCTTACTTTTCCTGACCATGCACCTCTCTCTTCGGGGCCAGGGCCCGCTGTTGGGGGCGGCCACACAGGTCCCAGGCCGATCAAACAGCCGTCCCGACGGACCAAGACTGCCCCGAGCTGCCCTGAAGACGGCTTCCAGAGGTTCCAGACGGCCCAAGAAGGTTCAAATAGCAGCCCGGCGAGTGCTCCGAGAGGCCAAATTTAGATATTTTCTTTTCGTTTTTGACGGATTTCGGGCTTCCAACGCTCCCAGACGGGTCAAGAGGTTCCCCAGACCGCCGTCAAGGCGGCTCTAGAGGGGAGGCGTCCACGACGATCCAAGACCAATCCAAGAGGACCCGCAAGAGTGCTCCATCCCCTCAGGAATACTTGCACTTTTTAGTATATTCGTTTTTTAGTTTTAACGCAGTCGAAGACAACCCCAGAGGTCTCCAAAAACGCCCACAAACTGCCGATGAGGCTCTCAAGAGTGCCCCTAGACGGCTCAAGAGGGCCCCAAGATGGACCAAGAAAACCCGAAGACGGCCCAAGAGGGCCCCGGGATGGAGGGGTAATACGCGCTGCTATTTGGAACCCGCTGCCCAGAAATGACCCCCGAGGCCGCCTATAGGTGCCCAACAGGGCAGGCCGAAAGAGGCCCCTGGGAGGCCCAAAAGAAAACACAAAGAGGCTCCCAAGAGACCCTAGGAGGACTCCGGGAAACCTCCAGGAGACTCCGAAGAGGCTCCAATTGGGCTCCGAGAGACTTCGAAAGAGACCTGGGCCCCAAGATGCCCCAACATGGTTGGTAAGCTATCACAGCGTGAGGAGACAACACGAAAACGGTCTGGGCACGTCCCAGCAGGACCCGAGACGGCTCAAGAGAGTTCCTGTTTCTTCCATATGTCTTTCTGCCTCCTGTTTGTCTTTCCTCGTCCCGCCTGCACGTGCTCCGCCAGCCGGCGTTTCTCTCCGTGCTCCGCCAGCCTGCACGTGCTCCGCCAGCCAGCGCGTGCATGCCGTTTCGAGGCGGCTTTCTCTCCGTGCTCCGTTACCGCTCCTTCGTCCTGCACATGCTCCGCCAGTTGGCGTCTCAGCGCGTGCATTTTATAGCACGGCTGTGTTCCTCCTTCGTCCGTCTTTCTTCGATCTTCCTGCAAGTGCTCCACCACCCGGCGTGACAGCGCGTGCATTATGTGTTAAGGCAGTTTGTTCTCCGTCCTCTGAGTTTCTTCTGCACGTGCTCCGCCAGCTGGCGTGGCAGCGCGTGCATTTTATTTCAGGGCAGTTTTCGTCTCGTCCTCCGTCATTCCTCGTCCCTCCCGCACATGTTCGGCAAGACAAGCCAAGGACATGCGACGACATCCAAAGACCAGCAACCTACGGCCTCGACATTTCATCATAAAGCCAGTCAATGCCCCAAGCCTGTTCAGCGATCTCCTCGACGAACCCACAAGCCAAGACCTGCGCGTCGTGACAACGAAGAGGCAAACACCTGCCCCCCCCACAAGAGCGCCCGAAAAGCCCAAAAGCCAGCCCAAGGGAGCCCTGCGACATCCCATAACCGGCCCACGACGGACACAACTCCTCTCCGATTGCGAGTCGCCTGGAAACCCCGACCTCCGTTTCATCACAGCGCCATGGGCTGGACTAGAACCTAAGCGCGCGCGAAGCGCGCGCGTGGTTCTAGTTCAATATGCGTTGGTTTTGGGGCTCTCGTTGGGGGCCTCTTGGTGCCGTTTGGTGCCCTCCCCGGGGCCTGTTGGGCCGCTTTTGGGGTGTCTGCAGTTGCTCTATCTCGAGGCAGATCGCTGACAGCGTTGGTATCGATGCTCGTCGTGCTTGATCTTACCTCCCTGGTACGAAGAGAGAGAGAGAGAGAGAGAGAGATTGTGAGATGACCCGTATCGTCTTAGCTCTGTGCGAAGTGTATTCACGGGTGGCCGTTCTGAGGACAGAGGTCCGAGTGCTTGCAAAAGCGCCTCCACTTTGGGCGTTCCTCTCTCCCTCGGTCCTCCTCCGTCTCCGTCGGGGCTCCAAGGCTTGAGGCGCGTGCGCGAGCGCCCGCGGCGGATGGCAAGGGCTCTCTGGGTGCCTGGGCTGCAGGCGGCGGCGCAGGTGACACAGGCCTGCCTGCTCCGCTGCCCACCGCCGCCGCCGTGCCCGCAGACGAGTTGCCCAGCGGTCGCGCTGCCGCCGTGCCCGCAGCCCGTGGCGTGCCCTCCTCGTCCAGCGTGCCACGCCAGTCAGCGCCCAGCGGGTCCGGAGGCCGCGGAGGACTGCAACGTCCGGAGCTCGGGCGGCCTACTCCTCTTCGTTCTCGGCGTCCTGGCAGGCGCTGGCGTGACTGGCGGGTTCACCGCGACCCTCTTGTGCTGCGGGCGCCTCGGGAGCTCAGGCACCGTGCGAGGCGGCGATGGCGGACCACGTGGAGAGGTTCCAGGTGGCTTGGCTGCGCTACCGAGTGCCCGGGCCCGTTCTGTACCATCAAAGATTGCTCTTGAAGCAGCTCCGGTCGTCAGGTGACAGCTGGGTGGTGCTGACGCCCGATGGTGACATGTACGTGGAGGATCTAGAGGTGAACGACGACGTCCGGGAGGTGCTCTACGATAACACTCCTGGCGTGGAGCCCGCGCAGGTGCGTGGCCGCGGCTACAGGTTCGGCCAGATGCCCGCGGCCGACGGCCTCAGGAGGCTGGCGCAGCAGGCGGAGACGCTGCGGGACCAGGAGGACGCCGTGCGGGGGTACCGGGCCCCGGCGGAGGGAGCCGGCAGCCTGGGCGGCTTTGAGCCGGTGGGGGGCACGGAGACCCCGCGGGGTGCGCCAGCCCTGCCGCCGCCGCTCCCGCCGCCTTCCGAGGCGCCAGGCCCCCCGGGGCGCTGGGTCATCGCCGTCGACACGGGCGAGGGCAAGGTGGGCGACTCCATCGCTGTTGCGGACGCGTCGCGGGTGTCGGGAGACACGCGCATTGGCGTCGCTCAGGTGTCGAACGGGGCCTGGGTGTTCGTGGAGCGTCTCCTTGACGGTGAGGCCAAGGAGGAGTACCTCGACCAGACTGCCGGGCGTCGGGGAGCTGGTGACGGCAACCTCGATACGCGGGTGCTGCCGGTGACTTACAAATCCTCGAGCGTGCGCCAGCGCCTCTGGAGGGAGACGGTGGCGAAGATGGCTCAGGTCGCGTTCTCGGACTGGCCGCTGCCGGGGCCGCGCGCCGTTGACTGGTGCGCGCGCTTCGTGGACCGCCGTGGGGGCGGCCCGGTCGACCACCACCGCTGGTGGGTCGGCCATCTCCGCCTGCAGGGCGCGGACTTCGGTGTGCAGGAGCACGAGCACGGCATGCGGGCGTTCCAGTTCATTGGGGAGTACGACCAGGTCGACCTCCCCAACCTGGTGGGCTTGGAGGTCACGCTCCGCCGGTGCCAGCTCATCGAGTACCACTACGAGAAGAAGGGCAAGGCAGCCACCGGCAAAGAGCAGGGTGCTGGGCTGTCGCGCGAGGAGGCGGCCTACTTCACTGGCTCGCACAGGCTCGGAGGTGAGGTGATGATCTTTCCCGTTTTGGTAGAGTGGGTTTCATAGGAGATCGAGAAGGGCGCCAGCGTGGCGAAGCAGATGCGAAAAGCGCGGGAGGAGGCGCGCTTCTCGCGCAAGGATGGCTGAGCCAGCTCGAGGGCGGCAGGATGACCCCGACCTGTCCGCCCGCCTGCCGCAGGGGGAGCGCCAGCGACTTCAGCAAGCTGGTGCGGTTTTTGGTCAGCGCGATGCTCTACCTCTTCATGCTGAAGGATTCCTGGGGCGTGCAGAGCTCAAGGGGTTCAACGTCAGCCGGAAGGTCAGGCGCCGCGTCGAGGCCCGCTCGCGCGCCGACCAGTGGTGCGCGGACGTGGCACGCTCGTTGAATGAGATAGGAGGGCACCTGTGCAAGGATACGGGCGTATGCCGCTCCAGCCGCTTCTGGCCGCGTGTGCACGACCTCGGCATGGCCAATGTGAGAGCCAGTGTCGAGCGGTGGGGGCGGCCGCCAGCCGACCTCGCCAGCCAGGGGGCCTTTGATGAGCTCCGGGCAAACCACAGCTACGAGGGCGCGCCTGTGGCTGTGGCGCCGATGGACATGGGCTTGCTCAGCCTGAGCGGGGCCGGCGCCCCTGCCGACCTGGCCCAGCTGCTGCGCGATGGCCGCTCTGAGGTCCGCGGGTTTGTAAAAGGCTTTCTCTTGCCAAAGGATCAGGCGGATGTGCGTCTCGGCCTCGAGGGAGTGCCGCGCCGTCCCTACTCCGACCCTCTGCTGCACCGGCCTCGAGAGTACGAGCGTCTCTTGGCTATCATGTCAAGCAAAGGGATGATCGAGTTCTCTGTCGACGTGGTCGAGACTTGCGGCCTTTTTAGTGCATGGGAAAAGAGCGGGAAGCAACGCCTCATCATTGATGCCCGCCGATCGAATCGTTGGTTCAAGGACCCCCCCAAGACCCACCTGGCCTCGGGGGACTCTTTCGCTCGCCTCTTTGCTGCTGCCGATCTCACTCTCGAGCTCGGGCAGACTGACATACAGGATGCCTTCTATCAGCTTGCTATGCCGGTCGAGCTTCGCCCGTGCTTTGGACTGGCGCCCGTTCGAGCCGGCCGTGTAGGGGTGTCTGTCACTGTCGAGGGATCCCAGGTCTCACCCAGCACGCTTGTCTACCCACGTCTCTGTGTCCTGGCGATGGGGTGGACCCACGCCCTGAATTGGTGCCAGCGGGTGCTTGAAGACATCAGCTCCCGGGTCCCTGGTCTTGGGGTGGAGTCCAGGATCCAGGATCGCCGTCGCCCTCCCTCGCTCTCCCCTGTCGCTCACTCCGAATACGTCGACAACTTTGTTGCCCTCTCCCAGGTCCCGGGAAACGCCCGAGCTGCGGCCCGCGGTGTGGCCGAAGAGCTGCGCCTCGCCGGGTTGCGCGCTCACCCTGTCGAAGCGGGGCCGGGGGGTGAGGCTCTAGGTTGGTTTTTCTCGAGCGAGCGCCTTGGGCGCCCCAAGCTCTCGGGGGAGGATCTGGAGGCCCTCGTGGGGCACTGCGCGCGCGCCTTCCTCGTGCGTCGTGAGTTGTTGTGCTGCTTCAACGCTGTGTACGCCTTCATCGCAAGACATCGACACGAGCGGGTGCCTCTGTGGGATGTGGTGCGTAAAGAGCTCCGATGGGCCTCCCATCTAGTGTGCTTCTGTTGGCGTGACCTGTCGGCTTCCGTCTGCCCCGTGGTGGTGTCGAGCGACGCGTCGGAGCGGGGGTGCGGGGTCACCGTCTTGGAGGGGGACAAGGGCGACATCGTAGAGGCTATGAAGTACTCGGACAGGTGGCGATTTCGTGACGGCTCCGGAGGGGCCCGTGTGCAGGCTGCTGAGCTGATCGAGAAGGCCCTGGCTGGCCACCGCGTCCCTGGAGAGCGTGACGAAGGAGCTGAGCCGGGCGCCGTCGCGGACGGCGAGGCGGACTGGGGCCCCGAAGGAGGTGATCGAGTCCCACTGGTCCCCGAGAGGCTCCTCAAGGGTAAGTGGTCCGTGGTGTGCTCTCGCCCCTGGCAGCGCCCCGAAGGTATGCCCGTCCTCGAGGCCCGGGCGACGCTCTGGGGGCTGCGACGCCAGCTTCGTAACTCACGGTGGTGGGGTCGAAGGTCGAAGGCTTCTCTTCTTGTCCGACTCGATGTCCGCCACCCTGGCTCTGTCGAAGGGCCGGAGTTCGGCCCCAGGCATGCTGAGAGCGGTGCGGGCATGGGCGTCGTCGCTGCTGGTGTCGGGCTGCTTCGCAGCCGTCCGCTGGATTCCTAGCGAGCTCAACTCGGCGGATGCCCCCTCGAGGCGCGGGCTCGCCCTCGGCTCCGACGGGTGGCCATCGCGAGGTGCCGGTCCTGGCCCGCGTGGCGCGGCCGCTGCCGATCCAGGTGGCTCTCCCGAGCGCCCTCTCGGCCGACGGGGCTCTGCCGCGGCGCGTGGCGACGCCGCCGCGGACGCGAGGGCCGGCGCGGAGTGGCCGGGCGGAGGGCCCGGCCGCCGCTCCTGCCTCTCCGCGCCGCGCGGGGATGCCCGCGATGGCGCCCGCGAGGCGGGCCCGCCGCAGCGCGGCCAAGGCCGCGGCCGCGCGGGCTCCCGCCCGCAGGCGCTGGGCGGTGAGCGGGGCGCCGGCGGCCTTCAACCGCGTGAGCTTCCTGCAGCTGGAGAGTGTCAGGCCGCGGGCGCGGGGGCTGTGCCAGACGAGCTGGGACCTCTTCGCGGACTGGGCCCGGGGGCGGAAGCTGCCGATCGAGACGGAGGACGACCTCGAGACGGCCGTGCTGGACTACTTCGACTGCAAGTACTTCGAGGGCGTCCACTCGAGTTTAGGGAGCCGCCTGGTCTGTGCCGTGTGCTACCTGCGCCCGGAGCTCAGCCGCCAGCGCGGTGCGAGGCTGGCCCGCGTCCGGCAGGCCTTGCGGGGCTGGAGCCTGCGGTCTCCGAGCCAGTCGCGCCTGCCGACCCCGTGGGAGGTGGTGTGCCTGATCGCGGACCTCCTGGTGCGGAAGGGCCGGTGGGGCAGGGCCGCGGCGATCGTGAGTGTGCGTGATCTTCTACCTGCGGCCCAGCGAGCTCCTGGACCTGAGGACCTGCCAGCTGGTGCCGCCGCTGGCCGCCGGCCAGTCGTTCCAGCGGCGCTGGGCCCTGGTGCTGCACCCGATGGAGCTCGGGCGGCCGTCCAAGATGCATCGCTGGGACGACTCTCGGATCCTCGGTCTCGACGAACACCAGTTCTTCGCCCCAGTGCTGGCTCGGCTGCGCGGCCCCGGCGAGGGTTCCGAGCGAAGGCTGTTCAGCTTCGACTACCCGACGTGGGCGCGGGAGTACCGTCAGACTGGACTGGAGCTGGGCTTGGAGGTGCTGGGCCCGCCGACCCTCTACGGCCTTCGACGCGCAGGGGCGAGCCTGGACTACGCGCTGGGTCGCCGCACGATGCTCGAGATCCAGCGCTGCGGGAACTGGGCGGCCGCCAACTCGATGAGGAGGTGCCAGAAGGCCGGGCGGCTGGCCGAGCAGCTTCACCTGCTCGCCCCAGGCGCGCGTCAAGCCGCGCTCCGATGCGCCGCGCGGATTGGCAGCATCCTGGCCGGGCGCTCGCCTTCCTGAGGGCGAACCTGCTGTCGGTCAGCTTCGCCCTCGAGATCTTCGCCGGCAGTGGCCACTTCTCCCAGGCGTGGCGTCAGCAGATCGGCACCCCCATCATCGAGTTCGACTTGAAGCACGGGGGCCAGTACGACGCGACGATGCCAGGGATTCAGAAGCGCATTCGTGGTTGGATCATGTGCGGCTACGTGGTGGCCGTCTGGATCGGCACCTCGTGCTCTAGCTTCTCACGGGCGTCCTCCACGGCTGCGCGGCGACGACCTGCCGATGGGACTTCCGAACCTCAGGGACGTTGACCAGCTCAAAGTGGACATCGGCAACACCCTCCTTAAGTTTTCGTGTTCTGTGCTACGGCTGTGCTCTCGACTGGTGATTTCAGCAGCGCTTGAGAACCCAGCCACGAGCCGATTGGATATGCCCTCCGATGAAGCACATCCTCTCGCTAAAAACGGCCTTGACCTACAGGGCCGACTTCTGCATGTTCAATCGTCCCTGGAGAAAGAACCCAATTCATCTCTGTCCACGTTGACTTCTCAGCTTCCGAGCGAAAGTGCCTGGGTCGAGGGTGTTGTTCAAGAGCCGGCCAGCCACGCGTAGAAGTGGCTGGCAAAGTGAACGGCGTCTTCCGCACTCACATCGCTGAGCCGTATCCGCCTGCCCTCTGTAAGCTTTTAGCCCTGTGTTTTAAAAGCGCCCTGGCCGCTCGCTCGATAGCTGGTTTTAGCAGTGTGTGTGTGTGTGTGTGTGTGTGATAGCCCCTGCCTCCAGTAATAAATGTCGGCAATTCGGGAATTCAAGTGCCTCTAAGACCGGTCTTTTTCAGTCCGTTAAATGAGTCTCTGGATTCCTGCGCGAGCAGGGCAGTGCAGTCACCACGACAAGTTGCTTCTGGCCGAAGTGAATAAAGGAGCTCAGAGCTTGTGAGACGACCCGTATCGTCTTAGCTCTGTGCGAAGTGTACTCACGGGTGGCCGTTCTGAGGACAGAGGTCCGAGTGCTTGCAAACGCCCCTCCACTTTGGGCGTTCCTCTCTCCCTCGGTCCTCCTCCGTCTCCGTCGGGGCTCCAAGGCTCCCGCCGCGCCCTCCCCGCTTATGATCCCCTGACTTTGATGGGAATTCAAGTGCCTCTAGGACCAGTCTTTTTCAGTCAGTTAAATGAGTCTCTGGATTCCTGCACGAGCAGGGCAGTGCAGTCACCGCGACAAGTTGCTTCTGGCCGAAGTGAATAAAGGAGCTCAGAGCGATTATATATATATATATATAATATATATATATATATATATAATATATACCTGGGAACGGGGCCCAGGGCCGCCAGATTGGTGCTTCCGGGGCCACGGAGCTCACTTTCCTTGTGTTTTTTTACAGGGTTTCCGCGTCCTGGGCCTCCGAGGCCGCCGCCTCCGACTTCCCGTGGGGGGACGGGGCGGCCAGGGAGGCCCAAAATAGTCCAGGAGGGCCTCCATGCGCTCCGAAGACGGCCCAAGCGCGCCCCGAGTCGCCGAAAGACCGCTCCAGGACACCCAAGATAGGCCCAACGCGGCTGGAGAGGCTCCGCAAGGCACTTCACGACGCTGCAAGACGCTTCTCCGGAGCGCGTCAAGAGGCCAAAATCGTCAATTTTAGTATATTTTCGAGCGGTTTTGGCCTTTCAGCCTTCACGGCTGTCCGACGTTTCAAGACGCCAAAAAGGCTCCCCAGAGCGCCCCAAGACCGCCCAAGACGGCCCCAAGACGGCCCCAGAGACGCCCAAGACAGGCCCACAGAGCCCCAATACGACCCCAAGATGCGCCCAAGAGGGGGGCACGACTCCCACATTCGACCCTCCCGCTTCAAGAGTGCCCCTGGAGGCCCCACGAGGCGCCCAAGAGGCGCCCGGGAAGCCCACGCGTGGCCTCCACGACGCTTCAAGACGCCTCTCCAGAGCGCTTGAAGAGGCCGAAATCGTCAATTTTATTATGGTTTTCGAACGATTTTGGCCTTTCAGCTTTTTCGGCTGTCCGACGTTCCAAGACGGCTCAATAGGCCCCCACCGCCCAATAGGGCCTCAAAACGGCCCCAGAGTCGCCCAAGACAGGCCAACGCAACCCCAAGACGGCCCCGAGATGCGCCCAAGAGGGGGACAACGACTCCCACATTGGACCCTCCCGCTTCAAGAGTGCCCCTACAGGCCCCAGGGGCCCTCAAGAGGCACCCACGAGGCCCACGCGAGGCCTACAGAGGCCACAAAACAGCTCCGAGGAGGCCCCACAACGGTCCCAAAACGGCTGCCGAGAAGTTGCGAAACTGCCTTCACGACGTCCCCGACAGGCCAACCACGAGATCCAAACCAACGCCCATGAGGCCATTGACCCACCACCCAGGGCACGGACGCGGGAGGAGTGACAGCACTTGTGCACAGCATGTTCCGGCGGGAGCTTTCCAGAACACCCTTCAGGAGAAGGAGGGAGATCAGGAAGAGAGAGAGAGAGAGAGAGAGAGAGAGAGAGAGAGAGAGAGAGAGAGAGAGAGAGAGAGAGAGAGAGAGAGCTGGAGTGGGAGAAGGAGAAGGGGGACGAGGAGGGGGGAGAGGCCTCCAAGACAGCTCCAAGATAACCAAAGAGGCTTCCAAAAGTGCCCTGGGCGGCCCACCGAAGGCTTCAAAACAGCTTCCGAGAGGCTTCGCACCTGCCAGCCCAGGCCCCCCAAACATGCTCCGGAAAGGCGCTGCCGAAGCACGTTGCGGCCTCCCCTTCCAGCGTTCCATCTCGCATGTCCGAGAGCCTTTGTCGGCCGGCCCCGTCGCCGTCCGCGCAGCCATTTGGGCTCCCAGGCGTCTGCTCCGACGCCAGCCGCGCCGGCCGTGCGCCGACGGGGCCGCGTCGGCGCCGCAGCACGAGCAGCAGCAGCAGCAGCAGCAGCACCAGGCGCCTGCTCCGGCGCCAGCCGCGGAATGATTGCGTTGAGGCCTTTTGGCCATTCGGGAGGACTCCTCGTCGCCACGGCTGGGCGCAGCGCGACGAACCAGTGCGGTTGTGCCCCGGGAGGGCACCGGGATCGCTTCAGAGCTGTTTTGGCCACCGTTGTCTTTTTCGACGAGGAGCAAGAGCCCAGGTTTCTCGATTGCAGCGGGCCCCCCCCCTTGTATGGACGGGGGCCAACGCGAGTGGCGACGTGGGTCGGAGCGCCTTTGGCGCGTCGTGGTTGTCCGCGACGGAGGTCGCTCTGGGTCTTGCGGTGGGATCGGCATGCCCCCCCCGCGTCATCGACAAATTCGGAGTAGCCAGAGGATTATGGGGGGCGATTGGAGGAGGGACTTCGGAGGGGTAGAAGTCGAATGAGAGTAGCCCAGGTCGCAGGAGGAGGAGGGGGAGGATGAGGGGAAGAAGGAGGAGGTGGAACCGGATGATGATGCTGGGGATGATGGTGGTGATGGCGACGACGAAGGCGATGATGATGATGATGATGATGATGATGATGATGATGATGATGATGGTGATGCCGATGGTGATGATGGTGGGGATCACGATGATGATGATGATGGTGATGATGATGATGATGCTGATGAGGATGATGATGATGATGATGATGATGGCCATGGAGATACGATGATCTTCATGATCGTGTCCAGGAGGCGGAGGAACCGGAGGAGGAGGATGCTCTGCGCCACGTCCTGCTCGCGCTGCTGCTGCTCCTCCTGTTTCTGCTAATCTGCCACGGCCGGTCGTCGCTGTCGAAGACGGCGTCCTCTCCCTGCCCCGCCTCTGTACACCTTCGTGTGCAGCTTCTCCTCCTCCTCCTCTTCCTCCTCCTCCTCCGCCCTCCTCTTCCTCCTCGCCCCTCCTCCTGCGCCTCCTGTCTTCCCCCTGTCGGCATGCGTTCAGTGCGATGCTTTTCTCTGGAAGCGTTCCCGGGTGCCCCCGGGCCGTCGGACACGCGCCCACGCGGCGAAACCGATGTCCAAGATGGGGTCCACAGATTCCGGCCCCCTCGGGGCCCAGACATCCCCGCGCCCCACTTTCGCCGATGCGTGGTCTGAGGGTTTCCGAGGGGGTCTTCGCCGCGATCTCTGATTTTTTCGCATCGGCCCGTTCCGTGATGGATCGAGACCGCGCTGAGAGCAACTTGGGGCCCAAACCAGAACAAACCGACCAGCCAAACTTCAAAGGAGCGCGGTGCCCCTGGCGAGCGGCGGCGGTGCCAGAACCCCATGTGGGATCACGCCCCCTTGCTAGGATGGATCCTGCGAGGGGCCCAGGGCCGGTTCCGAAGGGATCTTCGAGGGGGCCCACAGGGGGTGAGGCCTGGGAGACGGGCGAGGAGGAAGACGTGGAGGACTACGAGAAAAAAGGACAAGAGCGAGGCAGAGGTGGAGGAGGCAGAGGATGGCATCGAGATGCAGGATCCAGGAGCCGCGGTTTCGGCAACGATGGCTACTTCGCGGCCGCTCCACCCCGCCGCCCCCCGTTCGGCATCGGGCATGGCGACCTGCAAGGGTGTTTTCGGGTTCGTCATGTCTTCCGCGACAGACGCCGTCGACGAGCTCGTCCGCGCGGCGGCCCCTCCGCAGGATTGTTGCCATGCTCGGTTTCCTTCCGACTCCCTGGCCACAGCGCCCGGCATCGCACAGCGACTGTGATTCCGAGTGCCTCCCACCCCCTCCACCTCCTCGTCGACCGTTCTCGCCCGCTCCCCCCCCCCCCTGCCGGCGCCAAGGCTGCCGCCCCCGCGCGTGACGTGTCAGCCGTCCGCATTTCAGTTCCTTTTTCGCGCGCAGACTCGCGGGAAGCCTACTTTCCTCGACTGGCCCGTTGCCCTGCCATAACTTCCCGCCCTCAGCGTTCCCCGCGTCGTGCCCTCGAGCGCGTCTTCCCGAATTTGACCAACTTCCCTTGCTGGTCCACCCTTCTCCCCTGGCTCGCAGCTGCCCCCTCCGGACGCAGCGTGCTCCTCTGCAAGGGTGACCGCCGCCCTCCCTTTCACTCTACCGTCGTGCTTCGGCGCCGT